AAGCTTTGCACTGAAAATGTTAAAATATGTAAGTATAATCAGGAAAATGCACTTAAATGTATGAAAAGTAAATGTACTCCATGTGGCTGTTATATTGATATTACCGTATATTACAGGACTGCAACTAAGTATTATTGACATTAGGGAGTAATATGTTGAGTATTTTCTCCATTGATGTTTTAGTTTGTAAAAATTCTGAAAACAGTGTAATGGGAATAATGAATAAAATAAAATATAAACAAGTAAAATGTTTAAGCTACTATCAAAACAGTTTCCAATTAATTTTCAGTCAGTCCGCTAAATGTTTGATCGACTAATTATTTCATACTGTTGGGTAGTTTAATTTATAACAAAATATCATATTATATAACTTATTTGCATGTTTTATAGGCAAAGATCTTATTTGTGTTGAAGTAAAAAGTGCAATATTTCCTTCTGAAGGGTTGTGGAGAAGAAGTAGAAACCACAAAAAAAACCTCAAGTCAAGTACAAATACCTCAAATTTGTACAAAAGTACTTACTTACATTCCAACACGGAATTCCCCTCAGGCATCTTGCAGCCAAATATCTTAATATATAAAACCCAAACTATCGACATGGCTACATGCCACTATGGAAGGTGAGAAAATGTCTTTTTAATCTTGAGATATTCTGGTGCCCTCAGAATAACAGCGACTTAATAACACTGAACAATTGTTTCATATTCAGCCCATCGTGCCCCGACGTCACACCAGCAGTATCTGTAACACTGGTGGGCTCGGTAATGACACATGTGGCCTCTTCAGTCTTTCTCTGTGAATGGACGCAGACATTCTGGTATTCACGGTATTCTGAAATATTTTTCCCTTTTGCTCGTACTTCCTACGCCTAGTGAACGATAATAATAAATATAATAACAATAATAATTTAGAAAAGAGGCATGTTGGGTGAAAACAGAAGAGAGGAACGGCAGAGCCGATGTGGAGCCGGGGCCTGCACAGAGTTGGGTTTCAGTCTAATTGGGATCATACGGCCGCATGTGCAGTTTTGGCACATACGTTGGATTAATCAGGGGCTCTTTAATCGTGGAGAACCCCCACCAGACCCACCAGACCCCCAGCCTGGGCTCTGTCTAAGCGCGGACCTTTTGACTCCACAAACACCCGCTCTCGAAAAAATTGGGGTCAACCTCTCATTGCTTGCACCGGAGCGCCATTTCGTGCCACCACAAAAAAGCCCCCCCTCTTTAATGAATAAATTGCTCCAAGTGAGTGTGGCTGTTGGGGAATCTGCGGATTCCTGGCGGCTGACTCTTCCCTCCTGATTGCAATTTATGTCGGAAGTCGTTTGCTGTGCCGACTCCAAAGCCCAGGAGGGAGGATGTGCACGTGGACAGAGCCTTCGTCCTCCAGCAGACGCCTCCTCACACACTCAGGAGGACCACTTACTAATCGATAATAGTGAGAAATGCTTCTTTAAGAAATGTGCTCACGTTTATGTTCCTCGTCACTGGGACTCTTTTTGCCAACCTCAGCTCTGAAGTTTGGGTCAACCCATCATTAGTCTGCATACCGATTAACCATTTGCTTGGATGATGATGATGAGGATGGTGTGTGTGTGTGTGTGTGTGTGTGTAGTGGGGACGTGCAGATGTCCATGTGGCTCTTTAGGTGCAACTGAGTACAAGACCACCGTACAAAAAAAGAAAAGAAAAAAGGAAGGTATTGCAGATGATTAGCAGGAATTTGAAGAATCTGGATTCCATGATTTTGCACACAGAGAATAGAAATAAATATATAAAGTTCATTTAGCCTCAGAGGCATCGCCGCACTTCCACTGCTGCTGCTAATATAAATATAACGAGCTCATAATTTCAAGTGTTATTACATCTACGATAAATATTTTATATACATATATATATATGTATATATATGTATACTGTAACCAAGAATAACTTGCTTTTGTGTTGATGTGATAATGACACTGATAATAAGTGCTGAAAACTGCTGATAAGTGGAACACGTGTGGATGCAGATGTTTAATTCAGGTCGTAAGTTCGTATTTTTTAAAAAGACACGTTTTCTTTTAAAGTGAATGATCTCTTGCTTTCTTCTTTCTGTTTGCAGCACTTTCTTACGCGCCGACCCTTGCCACAGGATGACCTCCTTGATGACGACGCCTTCGCCTCAAGGTCACCATACAGGGCCGCAGTGAAAGCTTGTGGACAGCAGCAGCAAAACGTGGAAACTGTGAAGTCCTAAAACGTTTAGGCCAATGTTCCCAGTGTTTGAGCTGCTTTTGACACCGCGACGCATTTAACAAGCTGCACAGTTGCATTGAGTTGTTTTCTGATGCAAAACTGAATGAGCTGTTTTCATGTCCGTTACAGATGTTTTTTTTTAAATCACTTCAGCCATCAGTGTCTAAATATAATAAATGTATAAATATAATTATTTTGTCTACAAAGTAAGAGTGAAACGTTTGCGTTATTGCTATTTTTTACAGGTTGATAAGTTTGAACGGTGCCCAAATACATCTGTGTCTACACCCTATGTCAGTGTGTATTAATGTATATGTGCATAATGCAAATGTGGATGATTTTAATAGTATTATTATAATTCAGTGGGTTCTATTTTCCATCTCATGTTATGCAAAATTTTATTTGGATTTGACCTTATTTTAATTTAAATCTTATTTCGTCAAGTTTTTTTTTCCTCATAACCATGCCTCTCTATCCGTTTTTAGGTTCATTTTAATCCTATCTTCTCTAATTCTAAAGCACTTTGTGCTGCATTTCTTGTACGCCAGGTGCTATACTAATACAGTTTATTGTTCCTGTTACAATTATTATAATTAGTATTATTACAAGCTTAAGCACAGTAGCAGTAAACCAACCATGACTTGATGGAAGTTTTATTATAACAGTCATTTACTTCTTGGGTTTTTGACAATATGTCTTGACCAAACAGGTGTGTCTCGTTGTGAGACAGACTGGAGGGTGTTAACACTGTTCTCAATCAGTATACTGCCATAATAAGAGCCTGCATGTTGGAGCGGGTGTTCCGCTTCCACTTTAAATGAATATGAAACACTGTGTCGTCCTCAGCTGCGTCCGCTCTGTTCATTCACCACCAATCGGCCGTTTTAATAGTAGAATAAAGAGCGCGAGACTATGAGCCCATTAAATGAAACGTGGTCGTGTGCTGCCGACCCGATGTGAGCTCACGTGACAGATCCACTTGTTTTCATTTTTCAGATGCACAGATGTTTGTTTTTGACGAAGCGAGCGCCAAATACATACTTCATGTTTCCTTTAATTAGAGAGCTGAGCAACCCACGTTTACTGTATGAATAAGTACTTAGTAAAATATTTATATTCACATGAAACGAGAAGTGAAACAAACCGTAACAACGCGCATTTAGGTTATTAAAGATAGTTAACGCCTGTAACGGGTGGCTTTATTGATCTGATTTAAATAACTTTTTTTTAGAAGCATATTAATATGTTCTAGAAAACAAGAAAGTAGCATAGAAATATTACCGTACGTAAAAGAAATACAAGTAAAAACCGATATTATTTCAGGAAAGTAGCAGTTAATTAATTCGTGTTAATAAACAGAGCACGTGAGGAAATGTGTGTGTGTGATACTTTAAATTAAAGCTATTTGATCTTTTCAAACTGATTTTGGTGCTTTTGTCCATCTTGACGTGAAAACATTGTTATTTTTATAAAGCACAGAAGTCATTATCAATTACCAATTGAAGGATTTAAAATGTAAATACTGGAATAAAGCACATGTGAGATATGACAAAGAAAAGCTCTGTGGTAGGATGAGGGTTCAAATAAAAAAAAAGGTCTTCTCGACATCAAGGAATTATTAAAATCATGTTTTAAAAAAGCTGCGGGTCAAAACCGACCTGCTGTTGCCGTTGATGCTAATAAATAGTTATTTAAGTTATTAAACCTGTGTCTGGTCTTTGAGAGCTGATGTGGCGTTCAATGTTAATTCGTAAAAAACAATACAAAGTCAAATTAAAAAAAAATCTGATCTCTGTGTAGTGTGACTCCTCTTGCTTTTAAAAGCGCAGCCAAGAACAACCAACAGCCCAGCCTAAGAAAATGTGTCCGTTGGCAAAAAAAAAAAAAAAGAAGTAAAGTAATAAAAAAGGGGCTTTTCTCTGCTTTAGCACAAACACACAGCAGTAAGATGGATCATGTGAATACAACACTGGGCCTTTGAAGTAGAAAAATAAATTAAAGCAAAGCCAAAACTTTAAGAAGGGAATATGTTTTCTCCACCTGCAGCAGAAAATGTGTATTTTTCATCAGTGGGAAGAGTCAGCATCACTTCCTTTCTTTCACACAACACAATCATGAATCTGCATCGGAACAAGAAAGCAACTCAACCAGCAGCCAGAAACACTGAATAAACCTGGCTGTTATTATGAATGCGTGGGCAGCGATAATGCAACATGGAGATATGTAACCATATTAGGCCCTGAGCCGCGTGAACGCGACTGACTGATGAGCCTGTAAGCTATCATCATCATCATCATCATCACATCCACTTGTTCTCATGAGGCTGCCTCTTCTATAATAAACAGAGAACAGTATAATTGTGAAAATATATTTAATCACTAGACATAGCATAGTTACATAAAGGTAATGCAAAAACACGGATCTCCGTAGAATATAAAGGGGTAGACCTACTGCGAAGGTTTGAGCTCCCTCCTCAACAGCAGCAAATTCACCACGAGGGGAGGGCGTGGTAAAAAAACAACAACAACAACAACAACACGCGGCTGCTAGAGGATGTCTGCGCGTGTTAACAGTTCAGGCTATCCTGCAAAGGGGCCCGCGAGCCTTCTTTGGAGCCTGCGCGAGACGGTCCAGCTAAAGAAGCACCGGCGCCCTCCTGCTCCATCCGGAAGAAGAAAACACAAAAATCAAGCCGTGTCCCCGGATGCTCTGCACGTGTGTAGAGCCGGGAGTGTCCGTGCGTCGGGGGGGGGGGGGGGGGTCACTCCTCCTGAGCGTTCTCCGAGTGGGAGCTCGAGCCTTCGGACTGCCGGTCGGCAGCGGTTCGCTCCTGTTCGGAGAGCTGCTCGCTGCTGGGGATGGAGTTCTTCTTCGGGCGGCCTTTTGGCTTGGTGGGGGACTCCAGGCCTCCGCCCTGCAACACCTGTGGGTTGAACATGAGCAGAGAAATCTGTTGATGATGTACGTTCACATAAAGAAAAAGAAGAAGAAGAGTGACTCACACCAACACACACAACAAATACAGTTACAGACAGCCGCCCCTCAATTCCAAATTAAAGACATGACAAATGTCATCTGATCTCCTAAAAAGGTCCCAAACAGGCTTAAATCTACTGCGATGCATTCACTCAACTACGTTTCCCATCGACATCTGTTGAAATAACACAAAACAGACTACTCGCTGTTTTTGTGTTGTTGTTCAGGCCTAACCTCATATAACATGACCACTACCGCATCAGCATCATCATCATCATCATCATATTCGTAATCATCATCACCATCATCACCACAATGAGGAATAACTTACAATTTTCTTCCATTTCATCCGTCTGTTCTGGTACCATGTTTTCACTTGCAGCTGACTGAGGCCCAGAGACTCAGCCAGGTCTATTCTGTGAGGAACACATACATCAATACGATCAATAACTCCACATCACATCATGCTGCTTGAGCTTTGTTTCTATTGTCTGTAGCCTATTATGGACAAATGATCAGTCGCTTCTAATAACTCAGCATAATAAATTATTTAACTGATCTTATGCTGATAGGGTTACCAATTGCTGCTTGCAAACAATTTCCCTTTGCGTTTTGATAAACCCCTAAATTATAACATTGCCTGTTTTTGTGAAAATGTTGGCAACATAGTTTGGTGGGTAGTTTTTTTGACTCCACGTGTTTGTACTTGATTACTTTTAGAGGAACACAGTACAAGTATTTTAGCATTCCAAAGAACACTTTGAAACATATTTGTATAGGGGAAGCGTTTACAAAAGTTAGGTCAATTAATAATACACAAATTAGATAAAAATAGCGACAGATATTTCAAGTCAAAATGTTGGCCAGAAGGGCGGTAAAATCAACCCGTCTCGTAGACCCACCTATCGGGCGTAGACAGATATTTCTGCTTCTCGAAGCGCTTCTCCAGCCCCATGAGCTGCAGCTCGGTAAACACGGTGCGGCTCCGGCGGCCCTTCTTGCTCTTGCCGCCTCCGTCGGCCCCGTGCTCCAGCTTCCCGCGGAGGTGCAGGTCCAGCGGCAGGTGGTGAGACGCCGGGCCGCCGATATGCAGGCCCGACGCCGCGGACAGCAGCTGGGCGCCGAGCGGGGAGCCGAGCGAGCAGGACAGCGGGGACATGGGGAACTTGAGGAGGCTCGTCTGGTCGGCTTTTAGGACTGGAGGGACCGGGGGGGAGCAAGCACATACACGGAGAGGTTTGTTTTTAGTATAGCTCAAGTTACTGCTAGCTAGTTTAGGTTAGCTTCAGGACGCGGTTTGACCAGTCTGATAGGTGTGCGGTTGTCCCATAGGCGCCACACACATTTCTAACAGACTTCAGGTCAGACTTCAGGGCCGATTTATGATATATATGAATATTCAGTTAGGTTAAACTAGCAACAACTATGGGGCCTCATCTACTTGAATGCTCTGAAACGTTAGAATACGACATGTTGTTATTTGTTTAGTATTGTGTTCTATTAAAAACAGATATATGCATCTGTATTTTTAATAAGGCAGGAATCAGCTGGACACAAACTATAATTTCAGCTGTTTACATGTACGCCTAGATCAATTTTAACATCAGTTCAAGTGGAAAAAGGCCTGGCACTGAACTTCACATGTATATGTTTAATGATGAAGTCAGTAAATAAATATGAACAAAATAAATCTAAAAGATACAAATATAAATGCAGATGTCTTATTATAACGCTTGGCCACATCATATTTTGAAAATATTTCTTTTTAAACAGGAATATCAGTAAATAATACAACATTTATAATCATTTTGTTCTTTTTATCCACTGATTATTCTGAAACCTGACCGATAATCCACAATTGACTTATGCAACTTAAAAATATCTATCGTATTTTATTTTAATATAATGTAATCTTGTTTGTAGCCGTTATGGTGTTTTGTTTCCCCAAGTACAAACAAAATGAGACGTTTCCTTTTCTTTTCAATAGACTTGAATTCGCCCCGGTTGTCTCCTTTAACTGACATATTTACTCCATAATGTCGGTTATATGTCACTCTTGCATAATTGATACAAATCATTAGCTGCAACTCGATTCTAAGAAAACATTTTTTTTAAATCCTGCATGTGTCAAAAGTTTAATTATTTTCCCTCGAAAGACTCTTTTTAAATCAGGAGCAAAATACGCACTTTAAAATTGTATATGCATGTAAAAATAATTCTAATTTTAAATCGATGTTATCCTTATTAATACTATATATTTAAAAATATTACATATATTATATTAGTATCTATTATCTTCAGTTCTCTCACATCGCCTCGTTCTACTCATTCATCCGCGCACAGCCGCCTCTTACCCAGCTGGTTATGGAAAGGCCGGGCGGACAAGAGAGCCTGCACCCCGAATTTAAGCAGCTCCCCGGCCGGAGCCGACGCTTTGTGCTCCGGGTGGTCGGTCAGGATCTCCTCTATCATGAAACTCCTGTAGCGGTGAGTCCTGTGGTCGTGTAGCGGAGCCTCCGGAGCATAGTAATGCGCCCCAATGTCCAAATGATGCTGCATAGTCTGGCCGTGCGCTCACCCCAAAACAGACACCGAGCGCGTGCACCGATTATTGCTCCCTGCAGTGGCCCAAACCAGCTGTCACATTCCCGCTGCAGAGTCTTTGTAGTCCGGGGATCGAGACGGCGGATCAAAGTTATCCTCCAGGTGGGGAGAAATATCAAGCACAGGCGGTGGGACGGCTTCTCGCGTCCCGTGTCGGCTTACTTCGGGCCGGGTTTGGTTCTTCTTGGAGAAGAAGTGTGGAACCAGGAGCGAACCTTTGACCGAAAACTCCCGAACCCGGCTGCGTTCATGCCCACTCCGCTGCTACTGCTGCTGTGTGTGTGTGTGTGTGTGTGTGTGTGTGTGTGTGTGTGCGCGCGAGCGGCGGAGGTCGGAGCTAATCATCAGCCGCTGAGCGCGTCACCTTGGCAGTGAGCGGAGGAATAAGGCTTTGGGTTTTATGGGTCTCGTCGCGGAGCTCCGCCTCCTCTCGGGGCTCGTCCGCTTGGAGCCAAAGTTACATGCAAAGCCGCACTTGTCCTGCATGGATTTATATGCAAAGGGAGGAAAATAAGGACGGACACTTGAAATGTCCTGCAGGTGACTTTGCGACTTATAAATCATTTTGACGATGGCAGTTTGTACAATAAGCATAACATTTATTTTCTACAATTAACACTTGAACGCATGAAGGGCATTTAGAAATGGCAAGCTACAAATGTAAATCATACTTTGGTGTTTACTTTTTTACCATTTTACTTATTCCATAAAAAAATGTGAAAGTTCTTGGGTAGCTGATGAGAATTAATATAGAAGCAACATTTTAGTGATTTAGAGGATATATCAGTGTTCCACTTCAGTCTGCAGGCGCCAGTGAGGTAAAAGGAAAACAAATTAATTCTAGAGGTTAAAAACAAAAAACACACCAGAGCACCTCTGAGATTATTTTTCCCCTTTGTGGTTATTTGCCTCAAAAGATTGTGAAACGTCTCCCACAGCATATTTTTAGCATGCCTCAGGGCTGCTGTGAGAAGAGCTGAAAACCTCAGAGAACCATTGAATGCTTCACAGCTGGTGGTATATTCAAATATGTTTTTTACATTTTAAATCTCATTTTGTTGAACATGTTGGAAACTAAACAACGCAACAATCAGATGTTCATCTCAAAAATGGTTTCCAATATAAGCAGCATAGAATAACATGTTGTCATGGAATGCACAACTGGGAAGGCCCATTGCAGTTGTAAGTGTGAAGAAGTACCTGCTAAATGATGCAGTATTGTTCTAGACCCCTTTAGGGACATGAGTAAAACTCTGGAGAACAGCGTTTCCTAAAAAAAAACTAGTTTTCATGGTCATACGTTATCCAATAAAGCATGAAATGAAAGCATGAAATATTAATATATTTTACACTAACATGAGTTAACAAAGGCGCATATTTTAAACTATTTTTACTTTGAGGAACTTTCATTTTGTGTTTTCATTTTGGCCACCTCTGTGGACAATAGTGGTAGTGTTTCAGAGCACCAGAGTCCCTTTAGACTCCTTCATTCTATTGCAGCAGGGTCTGACAGTCTGCCCCTCTCAGTCCTGGTTCTGGTTCTCCCGTGCCTCCCTTCCCTCCAGGGGGTCCAGCAATACGGCCTGGGTCTCCAGCGTGGTGTCAGTGTTGGCTTCCAGCGGGGACCGGAGGAGCAGAGAGGAGAAGCTCTGCTCCTATAGGAGCTGAGCTCTCCTCGTCCCGCGGGAGCTTCCGAATGCAGGTCGAGGGCGGAAGCAAAGCCGGATCTGGGTCTGTCCACGGTGGACCGGTCTCTGCTGGAGGATCTGGATCCGTCCACGGTGGACCGGTCTCTGCTGGAGGATCTGGGTCCGTCCACAGTGGACCGGTCTCTGCTGGAGGATCTGGGTCTGTCCACGGTGGACCGGCCTCTGCTGGAGGATCTGGGTCCGTCCACGGTGGACCGGCCTCTGCTGGAGGATCAGGGTCCGTCCACGGTGGACCGGTCTCTGCTGGAGGATCTGGGTCCGTCCACGGTGGACCGGTCTCTGCTGGAGGATCTGGGTCTGTCCACGGTGGACCGGTCTCTGCTGGAGGCCCCGCTGGAGTCTGAGCTGAAGGAGTTTCTGGTGAACCTGCATGATTTCATCTGATTTCTCCAGAATCCGACCCGGTGGCACCGATGACGAGCATGAAGAATAACTCTATAGAAAGAGTCAATCTTCTCTCTGATGGTCTTGTTTACTGATGTAGGTCATATAGAGGATCAGGACTAAACTGCGACTGTTTCATAACGAGGTTTAAAGTTCCTCACAGAAACTTTAAGTATGCAGAGCAGGAGAATCAGGGGACAAGAGTCTTATTGATCATTTTAATTTGTTGTCTTAGCTCTTGATACAATACAGTGTCCTGCAAATGCAATTTTGTAAAATCACGAATCCTCCAAAATAATGTGTATTATGTCATGTTGTGTGACACAAAGTCAGTCTTCTGAGGAAAATAAGAAGAAAAAAAGTTCCGAATTGATTTGCCCTTGCTGTATTCAAATGAGTTGGCTTTGGTCATAAATAATACATAAGCAAATGATCAAATAGTTCCTGTGAATCGTAATCAGTATTCTTTCTAACACATTGTAGAAGAAGTAGTTCTTCCCATCTGCCAAGTCAATCAAACATTTGTGTGTAAAAACTCATCTGGTCTTCAGGAACAAGTAGTAAATAACGGATTCGTTCAAGTTGTTCATATTTGCCACAATCGAGTTTCCATCTCCAGCTGGCTTTCTTTCAACACGTCTTCCCCCGCTGGTCACTTCTCAGACTGCAAGGACAGTTTCCATCATCATCGCCACTACTGCAGTAGAAAGGAATGAAATACACGATACCCAAAGATAGTAGCAACATGTCTGATTAAAGAGAATAAATGTGTTTTCTCATCTTAAAGTACACCAACAGTGTATTTGCAGCTCTCTAGGTCATAACTCTGTTACTTGCACTAGCAACATTGATCAAATCTTGCAAATCCTTTGACATTCAGTCTATTCTTGTGTGGGAGATATTTATCGACAGTGTTGTAAACTATATGATCAGGCCAATATGTTGCTTTTGCATGTTTAGTATGTGTATCTGTCAATGTAATGTGTTCATTATTTTCAAAAGTCATTACTGTCAAAGTCAGAAATATTGTAAGCTGCATGTGACACAGACCCACACACCACCTCTCCCTCCCATCCAGAGACATATCCTCCAGCATTCCACCCTAAAGTGATATAATACCAAAAACAAACAGAATAGTTAGAAAGACTACATAGTTAGTTTAAAGAGATGCCATGAGTGTTGTGGAACACCTGTGGGCTACCTCTCATGGCATATGTTATAGTTTTCCAAAGGAGCACATGAATTAACCGCTTTAATCCACTGAGTAATATTCAGGGGTTCCTCATCATTCCACTTTGATTTAATGCATCTTTTTACAGCAGTAATATCTAGACCAACAACAACCCTTTATCGTTTGGGAAGGGAGATTCGGATTGGTTAAGTTCCCGAAATAAAACTTATATTTCCCTTTTTCAAGAATATTCCGAATCTCCAGGCATCACCGTCTGAGCTCAGAACAACACTTCGATAGGTGTTTGATGAACATCCTCGCAAATCTCCACTGAATGACTAAGAATAGGGTTAGTGAATGTCTCAATATGTTTTGACGTGAAGCAGTAAGGGAGGAGGGGTCTTGTATCTTGACAATATGGCCTTCAATCTGGGTCCATGTGGGACAATGTTGCTATGAACCTATAACATAGGAGCCTAATCATAGCAGAAATATAATTCTGGGTAAGATCAGAATCAGAATCATTTATTGCCAAGGAAGTTTGCACCTACAAGGAATTTGTCGTGGCGGTTGGTGCGTAACATTTAACAATAAACAATAACATTAAACTATCAGCAATCAACACAGTGCGAGAAATAGAAACATATTAAAATTTACAATAAAATATAAAATAAAGTGCACAACAAAACAGCAAACAGGACTGTAAAACAAGTGAAGTGTAAGTGAAATGTTAAAAGTGACGAGAGTGTTTAAATAAAGAAACAGGGATGTGCAGGGGAGAGCCCAGAAGGAAATGTCCTGGGGATGACAGTCAGTGGGGGACCCTGGCTTTGTTAATGAGCCCGACTGCGGACGGGAAGAAACTGTTTGTGTGGCGTGAGGTCTTGGTTCTGATGGACCACAGCCTCCTGCCAGATGGAAGGGGCACAAACAGATCATGTCCAGGGTGAGAGGGGTCGGCTACAATCTTTCGTGCTCGCTTCAGGGTCCTTGAAGCGAACAGGTCCTGGAGGGACGGCAGATTGCAACCAATCACCCTCTCAGCAGAGTGAATGATGCGCTGCAGTCTGCCCTTGTCCTTGGCAGTGGCTGCAGTGTACCAGACCGTGATGGAGGAGCAGAGGATGGACTCAATGATGGCAGTGTAAAAATGCACCATCATTGACTTTGGCAGGATGAATTTCTTCAGCTGCCTCAGGAAGTACATCCTCTGCTGCTCTTGGTGATGGAGCTTGACGGACTGGTGAGTGGAGGTGCAGCTGTTGGTGTACAGGGAGAAGAGCAGAGGGGAAAGAACGCAGCCTTGGGGGGAACCGGTGCTGATGGTCCTGGAGGCTGAGACGTGCTTTCCCAGCTTCACGTGCTGCTTCCTGTCAGACAGGAAGTCTGTGATCCACTTGCAGGTGGAGTCGGGCACCTGCAGCTGGGAGAGCTTGCTATGCAGCAGAGACGGGATGATGGTGTTGAAAGCAGAGCTGAAGTCCACAAACAGGATCCTGGCGTAGGTTCCTGGGGAGTCCAGATGCTGGAGGATGAGGTGAAGGTCCATGTTGACTGCGTCATCTACAGATCTGTTGGCTCTGTAGGCGAACTGCAGGGGGTCCAGGAGTGGGTCGGTGAGGGTTTTTAGGTGGGACAGGACAAGGCGCTCAAAAGACTTCATGACCACAGAGGTCAGGGCAACGGGCCTGTAGTCATTGAGTCCTGTGATCCTTGGTTTTTTAGGGACAGGGATGATGGTGGAGGCCTTGAAGCAGGCTGGTACGTGGCATGTCTCCAGGGAGGTGTTAAAGATGTCTGTGAACACCGGAGATCTGCGTTTACCACCAGATCCTCACTGGGAATCAACACACGTGTAGATCTCAACATCGTGTTCATAAAAAAATCAAATCTATGTTTTCTACTAAGAGTCTTACAGTTTTTAAATAGTGTTATGTAAGAAAAAAAACTATGTCATGACTCATCTTCATGGAGGCTAGTAAAAGCTCATTGACAAAGTTCAATCAAACATTAGAGAAATAAAGTCATCAAATATTAGTTTTTTTTCAATTGTGTATTTTATACTGATGTATATCAGTATAAAATATATATATATTTATTATTATTTTTCTCCCATTGCAACTCAACAGCATCATTTTAATAAAACAGCCACTAGGCTGCACCAGAGGCCTCAGAAAGAGATACGCGGAGCTGTCGCCTCTCTTTTCAGGGCTCTTTATTTTGTCAACCAGTCACAGACAGCACTGCTTCTTTTACAGATCAGGAAGAAATGATTTTCTCTGAGAGGTAATTAATGACCTCAGCGTGGAATTCAATCACACCCACAGACACACACGATTCCCTAATGTGTTAGGATGACCAAGACAGTTCTACAGTACGAGATGTAGTCAGTGAAACAGTTGCAATATTTAAAAAAAAAAACGGATTATTGGGATTTAAAAAATATTAAAGAAAAATTATAAAAAAGAACGAAAAATAAACATAAGCGTAGAGAATAGGCCTTAAAATGAAGTTATTACAGGGCTGTGTGCTCAGTGTGTAAACTTTCACCAGCGCCAAGATGTTCTCTTTTTAATTTCTCATGGAAGAAAATGATAATACAATTGTATTATCACAAACTCCTTCAGTATTTTTCAATAAGATAAGGTATCGACAGTACCACATTACAGCAACGCTAACTGAGCTCCGTCTGTGGTCACGTGACGTAACGGCACCGGTCTATGACAACATGTCAGGTTGCTAAGTTAGCTAATGAGCTAGCTGCACTTAGCGGACCAAATGATGTGGCTGGAGAAAAATCCTGATTTGCTACGTGCCAGCGACAAAACAACCACGCAGTCAGAGAGATGAATCGGCTGTGTCAGATAGTGTATAGACAACCCCGGACTCGGACAACAGGATAACGGTGAGTCAGGCCCTCTCCAGCTACCATGCTAGCTTCAGTTAACGCTAACACAGTACGGCGAGCTAACTAGCTAACGTTAGCGTCAGGGCTCGCAGCATCAGCACCAAACACTAACGCTACACAACATTTCACAGGCCAGCCTAACGCCAGCCTTTCTGCGCCAAAAGACACGTTGTGACTTCCAAACTTGAAAGTACAACCACAACTAACGCAACGTCAGTAAGCTTTAACGTTCAGCTAATTAACGTTAATAAGAGAGCTGACGTTAATACAGCTTTGTTCGCCGACTCAAGTGGCCAGACGTTGATTTGTATCCGCCGGCACACTCTCACCGCTCGGTATCAGGTCTCTCACCCGACCGTTAGTCAGAGGAGGTGATATATGATATCTGTTAGGGCTTTTAAATGGCTTTAATATTGTTGTGTAACAGACGTGTTGCTCTCGTGCACACACCAGCGTGTTCTCCCTCACCATCATCTGACTTCAATGAGAAGAAGTAGTCCCGTATCCATGATGTGTAACCTCGTGCTTCTGTAATAGACCTTTGTCATGGCAGACGCTTGTCATAAGAAAAGCACGGGTGTAATAACACCGTCATTAATGTCATTAATTACACTTGTGCCATGACAAGTCAGAGCCATATTTACTATACAGTGCGTCATATTTACTGTGCCATTTGATTTGAGTGACTGAAGTCTATAAACTACTAGTGCCCTTGCAAATGAGGTCAGTTATTATGTAGAAGTCCTAATTGACTGCTCAATGTTGAGTGAACTGAGTGTCTGTTTAATAGGGAATAGTGAGTGAACGACATCGTAAATTAAGACACAGCATAGAACGTCTGTTTAAAATTCCTAAAGAACACCACATGTACAGATTAACCCATTTAAAACATGTTAATAACAACTGCTAGTTTTTGCTAGGTCACTGTTACCATGATGGAAGTAGCTTGATTGAACTAATTGCAGAGTTTTAATTCATGTATTTCCATTCGTTCTTTATTGTGAAGCCCAAGTATCTCTCCCTGTTAGTCTACTTGCTAGCTAGCTAACTCACCATGACATCTCATATTGTATGCATTTGACAAATTAGTTGATTTATTTGGCAAATGAATGGACTGTGTCTGCTTATGATGTGGTAAAAGCTTCGTTTCCATCTATTACCCAGTTTCCATTTGTGTTCTTGTTATTTCCTTTTTATTTCCATAAATTCCACTTTGAATATTCCTGCCATTTCCCGGGCACAGAAAGATTTAGATGAAACATGGTGTGAGGAGCGCCATATTTCTTTATCAACACACTCAGTGGAGTATGACTCTCACATCCAACTCTCGTCAGCAGCGTCCCTGAGAGACGCGTCTCAGCCTTCACACCGTCTCTCTCGTATCCGTGAGCGTATGGATCCACCGCAAAGTGTTTCGGTTCATCTGCTCTCGATCAGCGGCCGAGTGAAGACATTTATTTGCCGTCCCTATATTAGCTCGGTGTCATATCATTGTTAATATCTGATGCGCACACGTCACACTTGTCATGAAGAACAGCCTTCTCGTTCACCAGCCTGTTATCAAGAGCTTCCTATAAACGGTGCCAGGCGGTGTCGGGCTCCGGCAGGACGGGCCGCCGTTTGGATCGGGCTTCTTCTCCAGCCGTGATGCTGGAAACGCTTCAACCGGTGTCATACTAGGTCTTGGTGCCATATTAGTGTTTAACAAGAAGTGTGGATTACAGTGTAAAAGAAGCCCCAAAATCAGCTGTTGGGGGGGGGGGGGCTCTTAACTTTACACCATCAATATTCATGGGCTACAGAAGTCTTGCTCTTAACACAGTGGCACAGTGCACAGTGACATAAATGTGACTTGTCTCTGAAGCTGTCAAAGATGTTTTTCACTAACAAATTGTCGAACTCGACGGGTGACGTCACGATGACTACGTCCACTTCTCACATACAGTGTATGGTTTTATCCATCCATCCATCCATCCATTTTCCACCGCTTATCTGGGGTCGGGTCGCGGTGGCAGCAGGTCAAGCAGGCCGACCCAGACCTCCCTCTCACCGGCAACATGTTCCAGCTCATTCTGGGGGATCCCGAGGCGTTCCCAGGCCAGCTGGGAGATGTAATCTCTCCAGCGTGTTCTGGGTCTTCCCCGGGGTCTCTTCCCAGTTGGACGTGCCTGGAAAACCTCCAGTGGGAGGCGTCCAGGAGGCATCCTAATTAGATGCCCAAACCACCTCAGCTGACTCCTTTCGACGCGAAGGAGTAGCGGCTCTACTCCAAGCTCCCTCCTGATGACCGAGCTCCTTACCCTATCTCTAAGGCTGAGCCCGGCCACCCTACGGAGGAAACTCATTTCGGCCGCTTGTAGCCGCGACCTTGTCCTTTCGGTCACGACCCAGAGTTCGTGACCATAGGTGAGGGTAGGAACGTAGACCGAGTGGTAAATTGAGAGCTTTGCCTTCCGGCTCAGCTCCCTCTTCACCAAGACGGTCCGGTGCAGCGCCTGCTTTACTGCTGCAGCTGCACCGATCCGTCTGTCGATCTCCCGCTCCATCTTACCCTCACTCGTGAACAAGACCCCGAGATACTTGAACTCCTTCGCTTGAGGTAGGCACTCCGTCCCCACCTGGAGGGAGCAATCCACCGGTTTCCGGCAGAGAACCATGGCCTCAGATTTGGAGGTGCTAACTCTCATCCCCGCCGCTTCACACTCGGCTGCAAACCGCCCCAGTGAATGCTGGAGGTCACGATCCGAGAAGGCTAACAGGACCACATCATCTGCAAATAGCAGAGAAGCGATCCCGAGACCCCCGAGACTGACGTTCTCCGCCCCCAGGCTGCGCCTAGATATCCTGTCCATGAAAATCATGAACAGGACCGGATGAAGAATACAACCATGCTTGGAAGGATGCTGCACTAACACACAGAGTCACCGCTGAAAGGAATAAAATGCAGCCAAAATATAAATCCCTTTAATGATGAAATGGGGGATAAGAAAAAAACACTAGAATGTCAATAAATTTCAGACACATTGTAAATCCCCACAGAAATATTACAATGGTGTCTCCTCAGGCACCCTAAGCACCTATCCAGTGACTCTTTATCAGACAGTACCCTGGGTACTTTGGGTCTTTCTCATGAAGTATTTTAAGTCTTATACTTCAACAGTTTTTTGAAAAACAATTTTCCCAAATAAGATCCCATGGTGGTCCACCAGAAGAGACGGGACTTTGCCTCTCTATAGTACAGGTTAAATACATGTAAACAACTTGCCCAAAATCTAGAGTCCTGTACTAATTAGCCTCCTGCTGTTTTTCTGTTCCCATCATGGTAACTACTGCTGGTGCAGTCCGACAGCTCCGGGTGTCCAGCAAAAGTCACCACACTTAGAAAAACATGCTAATGATGGAAAAAGGAAGGAGAAAGCAAAAGGTCAGGGAATCATTTGCCCGTCGAGAAGTTACCCTGCTCAATTGTTAAAGGAGCTGTGAAGGTGCCGAGTTTCACTCCTGCAGCACCAGTTCAGGCCGAGCGCCGAGGCCCATCAGAGCTCCGGGTGTAACGTGAGAAGCCCTCGGTCCCCGGAGTGATGCTGAGACCCGTGTGTCACGACCCTGATATCAGGCTGCAAAAAATCAGATGTGCAAGTCAAGAAGTGCGGCTCCGGAGCAGCACACAATAGCAGGTGGATGTGTGTTCACTTGGATAATTGATGAGCGTGGCATCAGCCCAGTGACATAGGAGGGATTTAGCTTCACCTCTCACATGCAGTGTAAAGCGTTCTTTGTAACTCAGCACCTCCTCAGCTCCCACCGCTGCCACCAGGCCCTTCCCACCTGCCTCCCAGAGGTGCAGCCGTCAGACTGACACGTGAGCCGCTGACATGGTGGCTCACTTTGCTCCCCCCCCCCTCTCCCCTGGGTCGTCTTTGCCGGGCAACGGCGCTCCTCGCATCTCATTTGTGTGTGCACCTTGTTACCGTTTGCGTTATCAGCACCAACCCCGAAGCTTCCGCTGGCGAGGCTGTGTACTTCGTTTCCTTTCGTTTTTTTTTATCCGCCTTTGACACGCAGTGTTTATCCTCCCATTTCAGCCCCTGCCATGGCAGCCGGTGTCAGCATACTGAGCGACCTGCCTTACTCCGTGAGTGGAGCTTGCAGTGCAGAGAGCGGCACGGAGATGGAGACAGGTAGGAGAGCTCAGCAACACAAACACAACACAAGAGCTATTTATTTTGTAATGCAGTGCAATGGCACAGGACTGTAGACTGTAATGGTTTCATTCAGTGAAGATAATTTGCCTTTTTTATATCATGTTGAAGAGATGAAGAAGAAATTGGAATTGGGGCAATTTGGGAGTGGTAATTTGCAGACCGGCTTCAGCATCAAGACAAATGTTGTAGGTGAAACAAACAAGTGATTTATTCTATAATGTGAAGGTTTTTATGTAGCTGGACACGGAGTGTGAGATGGATAAAGTCTACTTCAGGCTTCAGATGAAGGGCACAGCACACCTATTACCTGACAAGGATTGTTTGCTGATGATGACTTTACAGGTTAACACCCGTCCACTCCGTTTACGTTCAACAGGAGAACACTCCAGGATCCTTTTAGTATTGATGCTGGATATTAGTTTGTCATGAATAAGACGTCTGTCATCATGGATGTGACAGATCACGATCACATCTTTTCAATAATTAATTTCTTTCTGATGCAGTCAGAGCTTCAATTGATTTTATAGATATCGCTCTGGTATCTCTGCCACGAGGAAAAGATTGAAACCTCAATTTGTCTCCTCTGGAACAATTTCCTAATTTGACCAATCCTTAAAATTGCTGCTTTCAGTCACTATGAGGAACTTTTAACGGGCTGTGAAACCATCTCAGTTTAATCCTGATCCTCTATATGACCTACATCAGTAAACGAGACCATCAGTGGGAAGATTGTCTATTTCTATATAGTTATTGTTAATGCTTGTCATCGGTGACACCCGGTCAGATTTGGCGCGGAATTTAGAGTAAATGGAGGATCAGCAGAAACTCCTTCAGCTCAGACCAGCGGGGCGCTGACAGATCCGGCTCTGCTGCCACCTTCAACCAGGCAGGAGGAGGAGAACTCAGCTCCTGGCAGCAGCAGCATCTCCTTCTCCTCCTCCAGGAGCAGAGCCTCTCCTCCTGCTCCTTCGGTCCCCACTGGAAGCCAACACCGACACTATGCTGCTGGAGGCCCAGGCCGTATTGCTGGACCCCCTGGAGGGAAGGGAGGGAAGGGAGGCACGGGAGAACCAGAACCAGGACTGAGAGGAGCAGACTGTCAGACCCTGCTGCAGTAACATGAGGGAGTCTAAAGGGACTCTGGTGCTCTGCTTTCGCTTTTGCCCACAGAGGCCGCAAAAATCAAGTTCCTCGTAGTAGCTTTAATGGATGGAAAAACTAAATACACAATAAATCTGTAGACGACTGTTCTATTTATTTTTTATTTGACTCAATGAAAACAAAAGGAATAACAAAACCTGACCATATTATAAGTCATGGTCAGGTTTTCTATAAAGAATTTTTAAATTTATAATAATTGAAAATCAATCAACAACCTAAAAAGTCTTTAACTCTAAGATACGTAAGTGATGAGTATCAGTGATTAAAACAATTTATTAAATATATATAACAGGTGTTTCAGATTACATTATACAGCACAAAATTAATTGACGTTATTATGGCATTTTTGGGGGGATTTGGGAACATAATTAAGACTGGGAGTAAGCAGTTTTTCTTCCTTAGCACACTTATGTGCTCAAATGTTCCCTTCTGACATATAAAGGTCAGGTGTTCCTCTGGTGCTGATTGTAAGACTAGATAATAAGCCAGGTGAAGAAGAGAAGGAGAAGCAGACTGGTGAATGTCTGTCATGTCATGTGATCTCTGCTGCTCCTACACACTGACAGCCAGCACCATTGTTTCACCTTCTGGATCACTTTGATTGGTTTGAGCTCTTCTGTTATTCATATTCAAGGATACTAAAATGCATTAATACAACAACCTTCAAGGGGAACAACGCCCATTTTCAAAATTCATCTCCATGCGAGATTTGTGTGAAATAACAGTAGTATGTATCACTTTATTTGAAGCGTTGTTGACGTTACTGAGCCCAAACAAACAAACAAACATGATCGCATTGCATTGTGGGATATTTATACCGGCATAGTGTCTAGTGTTTGCATACTGTAATATTCCACCGGATATAGTATGCAATTCACCCACAATGAGCTTCATACTAAGGGGTCAGACACACTAAAAGTTTAGTGTACTAGATAGCATGCTATGGTGGAATTTTGCCAGTCAGCTCTTTGATCAGGCGACAAACAGGCGTTGCCCTTGGGTCTTGCAGCCGGTGGAGAAAAACCGCTGTGCCTGGCTCTAAAAGCTGCGGCCGCCTCGATGTCTCGAGTTCATCGTTGCTCACGCATGTGCGTGTTGGGATCAAGTCGGTCGCAAATCTAACCAGCATTGTGCGGCGGTCGCCGGTGATCGGTGCTACACAGGACCGGCTCATCTCACATGAGCATATGGAGCAGCTCCAGACTTCATATTTGAGACTTGAGAGTAGCTCACGTTCACAAATATTGATTAAACTTTCCTAGGCCATGGAAATAACACATTTGAATTCTTAATTTAGGGGGTGTTGCCCTTTAATTGCTGTTGTTTAATAGTAGCAGGCAATAGGCATGATGTTCTCCATGAAACGATCTAGGAGCTCCAGCTGGTTCCAGCTTAAATGTGAGGATGTTCCTGCTTTTCTAATAAACAAAATAATCAATTGAAATTGGGAAACTTTCAACAAGACATTTTCGACACAAAGATAGTTTTATATAGAAGTGTTGTTGATTCAGTGTTTCACTCCTGTGTGTACAGTGCTCAATGCATGGCTCTTCTTCCTCTTCCATTAACAAGCCGCCCCTCAGATCTGGGTGCGTCCGTGTGTGTAATCGGTGTGTGTGCAACATTGGCCCCCGTCCACCTCCCACCGACGACTTTGGAGACGGTCGTCATGGCGACACATCAAATGCCGCTGATGAAACTGGTCGGCCGCCTCTCTTTGCCGACGGGTGATTGTCGGGTGATGATTCACCGTTGGCACAGAGCCGTCCAGCCGGTCACTTCTGTCAGTACAGAGACGCCGGCAGCAGTGACATGCAGCGGCACAGAGGACGGAGCTCCGTATTCGGGGAGATGGCGGGGAGCGCGAGGAGGCGCGACCGCCGGCACTCGGTCCCGGACGTTCTGCTGAAGGTCCTGCAGCGCAGACGCAGCTCCGCCCTGGAGACGCTCTCCTCCTCCTTCCACAGAGTCATGGCGACTGTCAGAGAGAGACGTAACCACCACACTGAAGAAATGTTTTTTATTCAGGGCTTTGACGATGACTTCAGCTGCAGGGAAGGCATGCACTAAGCACCGATGAGTATTGTCAAACTGTTCTCATGTTTCTTTTCTTTGTTGTTGTGTTTCCCCCCCCACCAGCCAATGCCAGGGTCCCTACAGCAAAGTACACCAAGATGGGGGAGACCCTGAGGCACGTCATCCCCGGCCACATGCAGTGCTCCATGGCTTGCGGGGGGAAGGCCTGCAAATACGAGAACCCCTCTCGCTGGAGCGATGAGGAGCAAGCCGTCAAAGGACTCTACTCGTCCTGGTACGTTGGCCGGTCTTCATACTGTTGTTGTTGTTCCTCTCAGCGTTGTGCCCGGTCGCTGTGGGTCACAGGAGTCCACATCAATAGTTACATGTAAAGCCAATACGTTTGTTCTGCTTTTTGTGTTACACTATGGTCTGATTGTTTTTTTTAAATGGAAACATTGAACAAGTGAGAGCTTTTGTTTCGGTGCATCAGTGTGTATGCAAGGGGAGAGCATAGAGAACATAGAGTGTAACAAGTGGAAAGAAAACACCCACAATACATATTCAGGTGTTTACTTTACTAGTTTGTGTATTTGATTTGTAGATTTCTCTTAAAATTCAAGACAAGTTTCAATTAGATAATGCCTCATTTGCATATTTAAACATAAAATACAAAAAAATAATGTGTATTAATGTAAGCAATCAACTGTGGAATATCTTTACCGTATTCACCTGTAGTGTCTTCAAAATATTTCATTTTACTAAACATATCTTTAAAGGCTGTTTCTTCTAAATATAATTTTTTTTACTCTGATCCACAAATCTCCACTTCAGCAGTTCTCACACACACCAAACTGTACACTTTTATTCCTCTCTATGTTCTGGAGGTTTGTAATGAGGGGTTTGTTCACACATCATTCAGAGCCTCATTTATACAACATTTCAGTACTAAAAACATGGCAACATTTCTTTTTGTTGTGGCGGATACAAAGAGATATCTAGAATGCTCTCTTTAAAAACCTTTGACTCCAACATGTCAACAGAACCTACATAATACAAACTGGGGTTGTTTCTTGGTGATATCTATGAGTTCAATTAGTAAGGTTCTTTGATATTATGAGCTCTTTAGAGTTGTGTTTGACTTGATAACTACTCCATATTTCCACTTATTTCTTTATGATTTTTCTGATTAACACAACTCCCCCTAACTTGTCATATTCTCCACTTCCAGGATTACTGACAACTTGCTAGCTATGGCAAGGCCTTCCACTGAAATCATAGAGAAATATAATGTAATTGATCAGTTTCAAAGGTACAGTAGTCTCCTTCTTTCTCACCTCATTTCAATCTGAGCTTTACTAACATTTAGATTCACAGTGAAATGGGAGGCTGCTCGCCGTCATTGCTCTGTAATGAATGTGTTGTGTTGACCTGCTGCGGTGCTCAGGTGTGCTTTGAAGACAGTCATTAACCTGCAGCGGCCCGGAGAACACGCCAGCTGTGGCAACCCGCTGGAGCAGGAGAGCGGCTTCACTTATCGGCCCGAAACCTTCATGGAGGCAGGAAGTGAGTGTCCACATCCACCCGCACCAACACATTCTGTAGGCTCCAGACACACAGCACACCTGAACCAATGCTGCTTGATTACAACAATTAACAGTTAGCAAAAAGAGCTAGCTAGCCAACAACGACCCATAAATGAACACATACACACGCATGATTCATGAACTATGAGCTAGACATAACGTTTTAGCATCTTCTTAGGCTCTCACACGCTTTTGAAGCCTAGAGTTCAGCATTTTAGCCATCACCATCTTGGCTTTTGGCCGTCGCCATCTTGGTTTTTGTCGATGTACTGATTAATGTATTTTATTTCGGCGCCTAACGTAGCGAATGCTAAGCTTGTTTAGCCAGCAAGCTCTCGGACAGTCTGAGAGCCTTGATCGATCAATGTGGATACAGTTAATATGTTCAAAACACATGTATATACAGCGGGATATTTGTGTGATTTAAACAGCCGTCTATGCAGATTACTCGTCACTAAACGCGACAAAAATGTCCTTGTAGCGTAAAACAAAGCGTCAGACATGCGTCTCAAAGATTCAGTGTGAGTTTAATAAGATGAAAGCGTATCTGCTCCGTGAGATGTGCGAGTGAAGGACAACAGTTTCACTGAGGATTGGGCAAAACCACTGAGAATAGACTGGACAACAGCGTGGTAGCGACCTGTCAATCACAAGGTAGCCCCGCCCTAAAGCATACCCTGCTTTATGGTCTATTTGACTCTAAATGGACCATAATGTACTAAATGAACATCATGCTGTATTAAAGAAGACTTGAAACTAGAGATTGAGACCATAAACTCATGTTTACAATGTTTACTGTTTGTAATAAATCAAGAGAGAAGTAGAGTCATTTTCTCATAGACTTCTATACAACCAGAGGAGTCACCCCCTGATGGCCAGTTGTAAGAATGCAATCAGGGTACTTCCATATTGGCTTCACTTTTCAGAAGCGGAGCTGAGAGTTGTTATTTCCACAGAAGGCTCACTGATGTAGTTACACTATGGGAGGAGTAAAGCCTACGTATGTGTACACTAGAGAGTTAAACACGTTCCAACATGTGGCTAAGATGCGTCTCAGTCACATTTCTGTCTCTCGTGAATTCTTCTCAGAGGCAGTGACTTCTGTGTTTACATTGTCGATCGCTGTCTTATTAGACGTGAATGGAAATGTACATATTAGTGAGGGCTTAACTAGCTCACTTTACTTAACATAAATCATGGTTTTGTTTCAAAATTTGTGGTGCAACCCATTTTTGATGAAGAGTAGACTGCATGGCCCCAGAATAGAGGTGGAAATCAATCTCAGTAGTGGGTATAAGATAAGGGACTACTGTTGATTCAACATGTACTTCAGACCATCAATGTTTTATGTTTTTCCACATCGGGAACGTGATGTGATCCCTAGTAACCAAGGATTACCGAGGAATTCCACTTTTGTTGTCTTTGGAGGTTGATTCCTTACTGAGAAGCTCTCCTGACATCTTTCCCCAAGAAAGATCCTCACAGCATCAGAGCGATCATCACGAGTCTGACCGTGCTGTAGGAATTAACTGCTGCATCAGAGGAGTACTCTTTTAATGTAAAAGACACATACTGTATGTCTTTGTGATGCACTTCCATCACTTTAACAGATAGATGTATTATCATGTGGATACTGACCAGCTCTGAATTGCTCTGGCTTTGTGTGTCTCAGTTTATTACTACAACTTTGGGTGGAAGGATTACGGTGTGGCCTCTCTGACTACAATCCTTGACATGGTGAAAGTCATGTCATTTGCCGTCCAAGAGGGGAAAATGGCTGTCCACTGCCACGCAGGTCTTGGAAGAACAGGTTTGTAACACCGGTCAATTTGGCATATGGCTTCAAGGGCGGGTCCATTTTTTTGTTGTTGAGGTTGTTATATCATTCTGTATCTTCCCAGTGGTGTTCCTTATGTATCCGAAGTACGTATGTTTTAGCGCCGTAATTCTATTTTCTCAAGCCCTTTTAAAAACTGTTCCCCATGTGACCTGATGTATACGATCCATCCTTAAAGTCAGTGTACTACATACAGTAACTTAAAAGGTGGTCGGCATGCTCCCAGTTTGGAAAAGCAGACCGGAGTACCAGCACGGAAGCTAAGCAATGTACCGCTGTGGACGCCACGTTAGTTCGGATCAGAAAGTCAAACAAAGTAAACCTATCGATGCAGTGGCAGACCACCAACGGCCGGCTTCTGCGAGATGAAATTACTGTTTTCGTCAAAGGAGTCCAGTGGCTTTGAATAGAGCGATATAATTGCTTCAGTTCTCCGACACAAAGGTCTGTCTGACGGAAGGTAAAGCTGTGAAAATATTCTAAATATAGCTTACAACAAGGAACTGAAGCCTAATATTGACACAGCTAATGCTAGTATTCGCATTATCCATAACTTTATTGATTAGCTTACTTTGGTGGCCTTCTTCCCTGTTTTTTGCTCACAGCTCAGTGGGTGTTTCTATTTAAAAACCCTGAAAAGAATGCAGATGGACCTGCCCTTTAAATCCTCATCTATGCTTGTAAAATATCAGTCTTGTATTTATTTTTTCATCATGCAGGCGTGTTGTTGGCTTGTTACTTGGTTTTCACGTCCCGGATGAGCGCCGACCAAGCCATCCTGTTTGTGCGAGCCAAGAGGCCCAACTCCATCCAGACCAGAGGCCAGCTGCTGTGCGTCAGGGAGTTCGCCCAGTTCCTGGTTCCCCTCCGAAGCGTCTTCTCCTGCGCAGAACCCAAAGCGAGTGCCGTCACCCTCTCCCAGTACCTCACCCGCCAGCGCCACCTGCTGCACGGCTACGAGGCCCGACAGATGAAGAACGTGCCAAAGGTCGTCCAGCTGGTGTGCGGGCTCCTCGTTGACATCGCGGCCGACAGACAGGTGGTGATCGAGGAGGAGTGGCTGGAGATCCCTGACCTGACAGCCGAGGTGGAGAAGACTGTGTCCCAGCAGGCCCTCCAGCAGCTAGGGAAGGAGATGAGGGGGAAGGGGATTCCCGTCCCTGCTTGTTCGTCTCATCCCCTCGGCCCACCCTCTATGCAGTCCGGACCCCCTCACGATCCGCCCCTCGCCAGTGATAATGAGCTCCACCCTCTGTGGAGGAAGCAGAATGCAGGAAGCCCCCTGAAGTCCTCCCTGTCCAACAACATGAGGCTCAGTTACAGCGATTCCACCCTTCACAAACTTGGACAATCACAGTTCCATTTAGGAAATCTGAAGAGCAACGAACCAATCCAATGCTTGATCAAACATTCCTTGTCTCACAGCAGCCTTACAGCTTGCACCCTGCCCAGATTTTACGACCTCTCTCCTCAGGACATCACCACCAGCATTCAGGGCCCCGATACAAACGCAAAGCAAGACACGGGATCCCCCTTATTCAAAAAGCAACTCCACAAAGGGCTTCAGAGTTTGCCTTTCGACCTGTCCGACCAGGGAAGAACACCTCACTGTGACGCTACGCTGCCAGATGTCAGAGAGGTTCCCTTCATCACCTTCCAGTCTGAGCTGTCCCCAGAGGGCAGACGCCTGCTGGTGGCCAAAGCTCTGGCCATGGACCTAACGGACAAGGACTTCACCTCCAAGGTCTCGATGTGGCAGGTAGTGTACCTCAGGAAATACTCTCAAATATACCATGTAGTAGGGCTGGGCGATATACAATATACCGTTTGATGCATATGATCATACCAGCGTGGTCATTCTACTGTAGTAAACTAATCTGAGTTTAGCTCGTAGCATATATGACATTTTAGAGGGCTTTCATTTTGAAATTCCACATCAGAATGTCTTGATATTGTCTGACACTCTGAGGTGGTCTGCTATCATTTTGAAGTGAAATTGGCCTATGGAAAAGTATTCTTTATTATCAAGTTTGACTAATTATTCATTGTCATTAATTTCATTTGGTATTTATTTAATATTTATTCTTTTTTTTTAAATTATTGACAGACTGACTGACTTAATAAATAATGTACTAAATGAACATCATGCTGTATTGAAGAATACTTGAAACTAGAGACTGAGACCATAAACTCATGTTTACAATGTTTACTGAGGTAATACATCAAGAGAGAAGTAGTCATTTTCTCATAGACTTCTATACAACCAGAGGGGTCACCCCCTGCTGGTGAGTAGACAGAATACAGGTTTATGACACTTCCTCATTGGCTTCACTCTTCAGAACCGGAGGTTGCCGCCTGATTTTAAACCTGCATATTTTTTTTTGCTTTGTGACACTTTGTTTTCAATCCTTCTCTTTGTTGTGACGTGCAGACGGAGCTGAACTCCAGAGAGGGAGCGTGGGAGAGGCTGTGCATGGAGAGAGATCCTCTGGTCCTCTCCGGTCTGATGTGGTCCTGGCTGGAGCAGCTCAAGGATCCAGTCATCAGCAGCGAGGACGTAAAAGCCCTCAGCGAGAAGAACGTCAACCCACAGAACGCCCTGGACTCGCTGGAAAAGGTAGCTGGGTTGAATATCCTCCACAGCATCACTGTGTGACGCTCTCTGACACTGTTTAACGGCTTTGTTCCAGGCAGAAGTTTACCACAGTGTCCAGTTACACTGTAGCACTAACGATAATCCTGGTTGTGTCTGCAAAAAAAGTCCTGTTTTCATTGTGAATGTACTAAAGGCAGTCCACACCAACAGCATTTGATATGAGATGCACCGCTCCATGCACTTCAGAAAGCCAGCGCTAAACCAGCTTCAAAAACCTGTATAGACACTCAGCCTAAAGCCTCGGTCATACTTTCTGTGTCCGCAGACAGCTGCAGACTTTTACTGGTCATTTTGCTCTGGTTCCATTCATTCTACAATTGACCTTTCAGGTCGGTCTGGCCACGATCAATTCCAGTTGATAGCAACGTTGTTTTGGCTTTCTTTGTATTCCATTTAAATGTGGGTAAAAGCGGATCTCCTCACACAACTCTTCAAAACAAGCATCCACTTTGTTACCTTCTTCTTCTTGGCAAACCAGCTAGAGGTGCGTACACCACCCACTGGACTCCAGTGGGGAACCAAACTGGATCACGTGCAGTCCGCGTGCTTGCTGTGCGTACAGTTCTTGAAGTCCCAAATTCTGGGCTGCACGGTGACGTCCACATAGGGTCCAAAGCAGAAAGTGGGAATTGGCTTTTAGAAACACAAAACTTCCAATTGAACCCGCTAACAGATGCCAGTCATTTCCCAGTTCTGCTCTACCCTTTTCTCCCCCACGCTAAGCTACTGATGTGTTTCTTTCTTCAATTTGAGTTACAAATTTGGACTTAAATTTAATTCTGATTGTATAGAAGTCTATGAGAAAATGACTCTCCTTCTCTCTTGATTTATTACCTCAGTAAACATTGTAAACATGAGTTTATGGTCTCAGTCTCTAGTTTCAAGTCTTCTTCTAGTCCAGTCTAATCCAAGATGGTGACGGCCAAATCAACAAACTCGAGGCTTCATAACGGTAGTTATGTTAGACTCCTCCACAGTCCAAATATGGTCACTTCCATTCATTGGTTGCAAAAAGCCAAGATGGCGACAGCCAGAATGCAGAACTCAAGGCTTCAAAACTACAGTCCACAAACCATTTGGTGACGTCACGACGACTATGTCCACTTCTGATACACAGTCAACGGTTTGAAGACAAGGCCATCACCTGGCTTGTCATTGCACTGTCTTTGGTTCATATGATTTATGTGGTACTGTTACTGCTTGTTCAATAATCTGATAGTATCATACACTCTTCCCGCTGCCAGGGCCACAGACTCACTCTGCTCTGCATCCTTGACTGTGCTGCTCATCTCCTGCCAATGCCTGAAGAGGTGGAGGCTAGTTTTCTCCACCAAACAATAAGAGTGTTTACTAAGGTGAGCATCAACATTATGGTGCGTATTGATTACATTAAGACACTTGTTTTGCACGCAGGAATGATCATTTGTTCTTCTTCTCTCTCTCCAGATGGACCCCTCCTCAGAGAAGAGCGGGCCTCTGTACGCGATCCTCAAAGAAACCCTGACCCCCTTCCAACATGAGCTGCGTGGCAAAGCTGCGGAGGAGAACGAAGACTCCTGATCCGGGCCTCAACGGGACCGGTCTGACGAGAGGAGAGAAGACACGGGGTTCCACTTTCACTTTTGGGCATTATTGTATTTTAAGCCTGTTCCTCGCATCGGATACCGCTGAGATCTGCCAATCTTCAGTCTCTGATATTGGAAGACTGCGTAATTTAAAGGTTTCATGTTTTTGTTTTCCTTTGGAAGCTCTTCATAGTCTCTAAGCACTGCCATCCTCTCTGTCAATGTGCCACCGTTCCACATGTGCCACATGTTCGTCATCTCTTCTCAGTGTAATATATTTGTGAGGGACTAGATGTCGCTTTTATTATTAACTGTTATGTCGGCAGGAAGATGACTGAGAAACGTTCTCACGACGTTATTTAAACGTGTGACTCGGGCTGTCAGAAAGCTGCTGGTCTTCGACTTCTTATTTAAACCAAAATAATATTTTTACACTGTGCAGATGCTACAACGTGTCTTATTTATTCAGAGCTCCCTATTTAAGAACGCAGCGATTGGTTTCTACCACAACGAGCTGCGCGGTTGTCTTAGTTCCCGTAGAATGTAAAGTGTTTTCTGAGAGTCAAATGCAAACTGTGGCTTCTGTTGTGGCGATGCAAACTGGACGGGCCACACAGGGCATGTTCCAATCGATTTCTATGTCCTCAATACCGCGTGCACCAAAAAAGCTCTCGTACTGTTCTGTTGTTCATGCATTTGTCAAACGTCGATCTGCCTCCACTGTTGCATTTAGCACAGTGCTGCCTGCCTCAACTCCACTGGCCTCTCGCCTGTGTCATGCTGCTGTGTGTAACGTTGCCTCGCCCGTGTGTGTGTGTGTGTAACGAGTCGGTGGACGCCTCGAACGTCTCGTACGTGGATACAATGTAATGTAGATCTGCTGACACGTTCCGAATGTGGAACTCTGATGGTAATAATGATAATAATAATAACACTAAGGACATGAGATGTTTTACTCTGGGGAATTTTTCCGACGAGCACTATTTTTTTCATTGTTACAATGGGCTACTTCTTACTGAATTAAACACAAGTTACTGAAAGCTGTGTGAAGCGTGTGAATCTTTTTACAGTATGATCAGCTTCATTATTAGCATACAGCTCAGAGAGAAAGTGTGCCTCCTGGTGTCGCCTCAGTAGTCTAACATCAAATGCATGATGAAAGCCATGCAAAGGATTCAGTCATGCTGTAAAGGGGGAAATAGTTTGGCCAGAAAAACTCAGTTGTACTTGTGGAAATCAACATGATTTGGAGCTTAGAAATGTGAATTTTTAGTGTTTATGTTTGCCATGTATTATTTTATAACGGTCATCATCAGTAGATACAGAGTCCCCTCGTGTTCTGGGAAACCTGGAAAACAGTTGACCGATTTCCAGTCTTTTAAAACACATGGAAAATTAGAGGGAGAAAAGTAGAATGTCCTGGAAGATCTTCTGTGGTCTTGGAAAGTTATTTCAACATTCTGCTATTGAATGAATGACTGGGCTGTTTATCAGAGCTTCCCTAAAACGGATAACGTTGCCGTCTGAAAAGGCTAAGTTATGTTCAAGATCACATTAACGTTCACATGGACGTTTATGGAGTATTTTAGTTGTGTTGTAGAAACGCTGTGAACACCCACCGCAAAGTCCGTCATGTGGTAACACCTGGAGTGCAACTGTTGGTTGGCCAAATGAACACATAATCCTGCACACACTATGTCTAACTGAATCCTGAAGAGACACTGGCTCCAGACAACATCAGTACATAATATATTAGTTGGCTGATGTATATCAGGCCGTTTTTTCACAAGCTTTTGCATTATTAGCAAATGCAATCTTTTTTTTTCATCCCGTCCCTGTGACCTCATTTTGATTGAAATTCGTGCATTTTCAATGTGCCTCAGTGTTTTAAAATCTATTTGCTAATTTTATCGGGATTTAAGTTCTTAACCAAAAACAGAAGATTTGGATGGAAATCCAACATCCTTTTTCAAATATTGTCAAAAGGAGTTGAACATATTGATATTAACTGCAGGGAATATAATAACATAAATAAGAAGGGGGGGTGCAATGCGATGAACTCGATTCCGTTTTGTGAAAGAAAACGAATCAAGCAGGTCACTTAGATTTTATTGCACATGGATGTACCCAGTATTGATTTATTTATTTGTGATTCATCAATTCATTCACAGAGTTATTGCTGTAGTGTACATTACTAAACACCAGGGGGGGATAATGGGCCCTTTAAGGTCGTTGTGAGCTGCGCCAACAAACCACGAAGAAGAAGAAGCAGTCACTGAGAGGGTGTGGAGGAGCGGTCCAGACATGCCAGTCAGGTGGGTAGACTGTAGTAATTACACATTTCGAATATATGTACCTCATTGCCCGGGCACGTATTCTTTAAAAAGCTTTAGAGTACCCGTTGGAATGGTTTTGTTGCGGAAGAGCCAGCTGCTGTGCTGTTATCCGACGCTTTTCTGGACAACCATGCTGGAACGTGCTGCTAGCTAGCTGTTAGCTAGTCAGGGTTAGCTAGCAAGTTGTAAGGAGTGGTTAACTGACATAGCTGGCATAATGTGGTACAACGTGTTGAGCACTTTAGATGTACTCTTCATTGCCACATTGAATAGGACTTTCCTAACGGTGAAAATATCCAAATACGGTGTTGCACTTCTTAACTGCCCAGTCACGCTGGCTAGTAATTAGAACTAGCTTGCTAGCTTCCATTGCCTGTTAAAGGAGTGTCGTCCAGATCCCCGTCTCGTGCAGAGACGTGAAGGGTTAGTTAATTCCGAGTTTCCAAATTACAGAGTAGCCCCCAATTAAAAGGAGTTTTTTAAATTAATTTTGTTATTAGACATGGACAGTACTGTGCAATCACTGGTGTCACGAGCCTCGCCTGTCTCATTTAGCGTTAGTTAATTCTTCCTCAGACTGGTTTCTGTAGTGTTTTGGCTGATTATTGCACTAACGTTATATACGCTAAGTATAAATCCATGTCCTCGTAATGAAGTTACTAATTTCTCCAGAAACTGGTCTTAAGTCGTCAACGTATCAACGCATTAACGTTACATACTTTACGCCGCAATTTTGATATCAGTGAATCGTCATTCTTCGAGCTAAATGGCCAAAGATGACATCATTTCAAGTAATCAATTGAGAGGATTCGCTGCTTTCCTCTGTTGCATTGTACATCTGTCAGACAAAACCAGACATTTAGAATCCATCTATCTTTAATGATAGATGGATTAAAAAAGAAATCCAGATTCAAGCTTTTAGTCCTCAAGCGATCGCCTGCTCAGTTGAGTCCCGTGTGATCCTGACACATCTCATCATTGTTAATGAAGTAACTAATATTAGATGATTTAACCTGCCCCTTGTTGTCGCACCACTGCTCATTTCCCATGAAGCTTAATGAGCATAACATTATCTCTCATTCAAACTATTGTCTGACGTTAGTAGAGGCCCTGTTTAATGTCTGTTGCAGAAAACCCTGGTCTATAGTCCCAATAAAATGTACAGCTAAAACTTTAAATGAAGTTAAAAAAGTTAAGTGTAAGCGGTTCCTACTTGTGAATTTGTTGCCACCAAGAGCATTGACAAACACAGCTAAATGAACTATTGATATTCATCCGGTATTTACACCAGTCGTCTCCAACTGTACGTCAGTAATTGTGGATGCACTTAAGTTCATGTTTGGCAGTCTTTGTCAGAGTCGACGTGGATAAATGAAGAAAGCGTAACGGTCCAGCCGCATGTCCGGCGCACATTTCGCAGCACAATATGTGATACGCTGCCAGCTGCTGTCCATGGTCCTGAACTTCAGATGGACCTCCAGCGTGTTGCTTTTGGCTCAGATCATCTTGGAACTGCATCGTGTTCTCACTTTATTATTTGGAGTGAAAGTATGTTTATCACTCCAGAGTTGAAATGCTCTGCGTTGGTCACACCTGTTGAGAAGCTTCCTCGGCTGTACTATTATTGATGTAGAGCTTAACTTCTCTTTTCTCCACACAGCTTCTCCGCTGTCTGCCTGTGTCAGCAGACCTGGATTCAGCCGGTGGTTGTCCTGGATTCAGCCGGTGGTTGTCCTCGACCCGAGGAGTCTGTTCATCGTTAAATCTGCCACGACTCCGTTTGCACCGTGGGATGAGGTAGTAGGTTGTATAGTTTTAGGGTCACACCCGCACTGGGAGATAACTATTCAGCCTACTCTCTTTCTCAAAGTGCCAGGTACACGTCTCAGTGGACCCTCCATGTCTTCTGAAGGGCAGCTTCCATCATGGTTCCACAGGAACAGATGTCTCATCCCAGCTGCTCACACAGTGTGAGGTAGTAGATTGTATAGTTAGAGGGTAGTGATTTTGCCCTGTTTTGGGAGATAACTATACAATGTATTGCCTTCCCTGAGGAGTGGCATCTCTTCACTGTTATTTATAATATATGGTATTCATACATTCATCTTCAAAGAGAGCCTTTGGGACCACTAGACTAGAGCTGAACGATATATCGTCACGTCAGGATGTGCAATGTCGGCAAATGAGCTCAAACACGTCACGCCTCCACTTCTGAGCTGCTTGAGACAAAAGGACTTTTTTTATTTTTAATGACTGATCAAGTGTTTCCCATTAGTTACCATCCATGTAGGCCCTCCACAGTTTCCTAAAAAAGTATGCATTTCTACACTTCTCATCGGGTGACGGGGGCTCTGACTACGAGCGTTACAGCACGCCTCGCCCCAACCAAACACTTTCCCAGGCCATGGACTCAACGGTAGGGTTGGTCATGAAATTCATCCTGACAGCAATCAATAGATCAAATGCTCTGACAAAAAAGAATCTGGTATGTGTGGCTGTGGCGGGACGGTAATAAGCCCGTCCAGTGTTTTCATTCATTCCTACTGAAGAGCTGCAGACACCGGGCTGAAATGTAGCACACTGTTGCTAGCTTCTCAACATTACCAACCCTCGCTCTAATGCTTTGTGTGTGTCATCACCATTCATATCTATGCAACCAACGTGTTTGTGATTAAATTGTTTACTAAAACACTATTGATCAAGCCTCTTCATTTTGCTCTGAGTGCACCAGATTGATGCATTTAACTTTGAAATGTAGCCTGAATATTCCTGTGCATATCGCAATATACAGTCAGGGCCACAAGTATTTGGACTGTGACACAACTTTTCAAATTGTGTCTCTTTACACGACTCCAGTGGATTTGAAACTAATCAGTCAATATGTGGATGAAGTGTAGACTTTCAGCTTTAATTCAATGGATAAAACAGAAATATCACAATAACTGTTATGGAATTCCAGCCATTTTTACACATCCCCCACATTTTCAGGGCTCAAAAGTAATTGGACAAACTAACATAATTGTGAATATAATCATCGTTATTTAATATTTGGAGGAAAATCCTTTGCAGTCAATGATTGCCTGAAGTCTGGCACCATAGACATCACCAAATGCTGAGTTTCCTCCCTGGAGATGCTTTCTCAGGCCTTTACTGCAGCCTCCTTCAGCTGCTGCTGTTTGTGGGTCTTTCTGCCCTCAGTTTTATCTTCAGTAAGTGAAAAGCCTGCTCACTTGGATCAGGTGACTGACTTCCCCCATTGAAGAATATTCCATTCCTTTGCCTTGAGAAGCTCTTGGGTTGTGTTCACAGTATGTTTTAGGTCGTTATCCATCTGCACTGTGAGGCGCCATTCAATCAGTTTTGTAGCATCGGGCTGAATCTGAGCAGATAGTTTAGCTCTGTAGATCAACACCCAAACAGTTTAATGCCACTGAAGAGGAAGCTTCTTAAAACTTCAGCAGCCTGAGCACTGAGGCCGGTACTACGAAGCAGGAGGGTCACTTCTTACCAAGTTTTATTGCCATGGTAACTAATGCTGAGCACCGTACCTTTGCAACAAGTAAATGTAGGAGTAAAAACTACAACATGTGTCTCTGAAGTCTACTTAAAAGGCCCTGCACACCCACACAGGTGAATGTATAATTAGTCTCACTGTATCAGCTGCAACAGAACGGACTGTAAAATCATAGAGATGTCGACAAAGTTAGTCTGTTTACGGAGAAACGTGTGTGTGTGTGTGTGTGTGTGTGTGTGTGTGTGTGTGTGTGTGCGTGGACCACTGAAAACCTGCTCTATTACTATTATTATTATTGCAGCGTAAGCGGTTCTTACTGTGGGTCTATGTGTACTGTACCCAGGCGCCGCCCCCCGTGGAGCATGGTGACAGTAGTTGCACCGTGGTGTCGATAGATGGTGCTACAGTCCTTTATCTCAGTGTGAACCATGGAAGAGGTGATGGTCTTCAAAGAGGAGAGAACCTGAGCCGGACTAATAGTCACAGCAACACCTCCCTTTGCTTCTACAGTTCTCTTTGCTGCTCTGATATGTTTCATTTAGGAAGTTGGTATTTTCAGTTCGAATGACGATTAAAGTCTTTAAGTCTGTTGAGTTGGGCAGACGACCTGTACACTCTGTAACTTGAACTCATGTAATATTATTAACATTTGGATCTGTTAGTGGTTGGAAGGACGTCATTACTCAAGTAAAAGTGGCAATACTACAATATATTTACTTCAGTCGAAGTACAGAAGTATTATCAATAAAATATACTGAAAGTATCAAAAGCAAAAGTACTCCTTTTATGTTTGATTAAATTGTTTAGTTAAATGATTCTGGATCATTCTATTTGATCCATTACAATGTAAGGAGCATTCTAGAGTTGCAGCCGGTCAAGCCGAAGCGAATTGTAACTATTTAGTGTTTTTAATGTAAACCAGTGCATCGTGTTTGTTTGGTATGAAAGATGTTCTGTAGAGTAAGCAGTAACATGGCCTACAGCTGTCCGATAAATGCAGTAGAAGTATTAAGTAAAACAATGGAAATATTGAAGTACAAGTAGGGGAGACACATATAGCGTATCCTTCACACAGAAACAGTGAAACATCCAAATGTTTGTTTTCTTGAACTGCACTGATCTACAAAGTTAAAACATCTGACAGTCACAAGAGCTGCGACCATTTATCGGTGGTCAACTATCAGATACATCACCAACTAAAGCTCCATATTCTCACGAGGGAATATTCTCTGCTTTCTTTGCTCTTCTGTGAACAGAATATCTTTGAGGTGTGGACAAAACAAGACCTTTGAGGACGTCATCTTGGACTTATGGAAATGTGACAATTTACATTTTTCACCATTTTCTGACATTTTACAGAACAAACAGACAAGAATTTAAATTATTTGCAGCTTAACCATTTGTGTGAGGGTAACATTTAAGTTGTACAGTATAGGGGGAGTGGTCTCTGACTAATATCTTATAAAACTGTGTTGGGGTGGTATCAGGTATCGGCTACGTCTGTGAAGAGATATATATATAATTACATCACAAAGGTGTATGGGCCAATTGTGAGCAACCCTGTGATGGGGCTGGTTGGCAGAAATGCATGACTTTAATCCTAATTTAAGAAAAGGTTTGTGATTAGGTGTGCCGGAGGACAGGGCCGATGGGCCTTTGAATCCCCCTGTACAGCCCTGCCCCAAATCACTGTGTCCTGGCACATAATGCAGATATATTGCAAAGCGGTAAAAAGACGTTTCACAGAGGGTGTCCGAGTGATTTTTACTCACACCCACATTTTTCCCACATTTCCCATCATGCAGTGCTGGTTATTGTGTATTGTGTTGAGGCTGCTGTTATATGTACCAAAATGCACATGTGTTTTTTTGTGTGTTAGTTTGAGATGTGTCTGTTTAGATCATTGTGCTTATTATTGTAATTGTTGTGCTAGTTTATGTTTTAACCATTAGTGAAGTAGCTGATATATTTCTTCAGAACAGTTATACTTTATTAAAGTATGGACTGCATATTATAAATCATAACGACACTCAGAGGTTTATGGACTGCCGTTTTGAAGCCTGGAGTTCTGTGTTTTGGCCGTCGCCATCTTGGTTTTATGCAACCAGTGAATGGAGGTGACCATATTTGGAGTGAGGAGTGACGTAGAGATGCCATATATGGTGCTGGCAGCAACCTGTCAATCACAGTAGCCCCGCCCTGAAGCATACCCTGCTTTATGGTCTGTTTGACTCTAAATGGACCATAATGTACTAAATGAACATCATGCTGTATTGAAGAAGACTTGAAACTAGAGATTGAAACCATAAACTCATGTTTACAATGTTTACTGAGGTAATAAATCAAGAGAGAAGTAGAGTCATTTTCTCATAGACTTCTATACAACCAGAGGAGTCGCCCCCTGATGGACATTAGAGAGAATGCAGCTTTAAGACTCACACTAACGTGTGTTATGCCAGTATAATATGGTAGGAAATGAAAAGTGCACATTACGAGCCCGGTCTCCCCTAACCTCAAAATTGCACTTGAGTACAACAAAATGAAATGCAGCAGCCACGGTCTCGATCTGTAGCGCAAGATCGCATCACGTGCCATGTGATCTGATGGGAGATGCAGGGTCCCAGAACGTGCCAAGACAACAGGCAGTCGATGGGAGGGGCGTTCATTGTTGGGGGGGGGGGGGGGGG